CCTTTGGGGGTGTTCCCCACTTCGATCTCGGGGCTTCCAGTCCATATATATATATATATATGTGTGTGTGTGTGTGTGTGTGTGTGTGTGTGTGTGTGTGTATATTCTACATGAGCCAAAGGGAAGGACACAAAAATATATGTATGTACACACATATATGTATGTAGGATATTATGAGATTTATTCTTCTTCTGCTGCCTTTCATTTTGTTTGATTTTATTTTTGATTGCATGTTTTTCTGTACTTTTGTTAATCTGTTACAAATGAAATGAATAAAGAACTACTACTACTAAATTTGTATGTACCGTATTTATTCATGTATAATATGATCTCAAGTATAATACGATCATTTTTTGAGCTTACAAAGCATAAAAATCTAATTATCAATAACKGTTGTATAATACTATCCCCCCACTTTATGGATGATTTTTAGGGGTTAAATTTCTAGTATTATACATGAATAAATACAGTATATGAATATATATGTATATATATATGTGTATACGCTCATAAATGCAGACACTTTCCTCTCCTGTTGGAGAAACATCTCTCAGATTGGCTTCATTTGAGAACACATGTCATAAAAAACCATGCTAAAAAAAGGACTATAAACCAGCATATACTCAATAAGAGCACCCAACAAATTATCTCAACAGCCACTGTATAGACAAGCATGAGTCAATAAGACCAGAGAGGCTCTGTGGAGCTCAATACAGTATAATAAAAGATGGCAGCTCATGGTCAGGTTGCAATGAAAAGAACCTAAAATTGATTTTCCTTTCTGTCCTTCTGTTGCAGCCTGGTGTGTGCGTTTCTCCCAGGAGCCCGCCGACCAGTCCGTGGTGCTGGGGGAGCGGGTGGTGCTGTCCTGCGTGGTCTTCAACTACACCGGGATCGTACAGTGGACCAAGGACGGCCTGGCCCTGGGCATCGGAGAGGGTCTTCGAGGTGAGGGGGGGGGTGCGAGAAAAGGAATCAGGAATTAGAGGGAGAGAACTATCAGCGTCACCCAGCTGCAGGGATCAAAGCGAAGCAAGGAGGAGGAATAACTCCAACGTGGCTTCGCTTCAGTTCTGACTGAAAGCACCCTGACAAAGTAAGGCTAATATGGTTGAAACGTTTAGAGGTTCTTTAATGTTAGGGGAAATGAACGCCGTGCAGTGCAACAGAAGAGTTAAATACCAAGAAGCGTGTGAGTGACAACCTGGGTGAGAAACGAGTCCGGCCTATCTCGCTGAATTAGAGAAAATCCCTCATTCCGCTGACAAAAGCAGACACACATTTGCATTTACATTTTAAGCCGACACTTTAAATGACTTGGAGGCAGCGCAGCCGTAGAATGCCCTTCACTTCAGAACAAAATGTGAGAATCAAAGGGTCAACGTCCCACCAGACAGACACCAGATGTTTATTTAAGGGTAAAAGAAAGCTCAAAATGAGAAAAATAAATACGGCATGGCGGTAGCATACAGGACCCAAAGCACCAATGCACCAGAACTCACCAGAACTGGTTTATTGTTGGGGGGACTCATTGGTAGGCCCGATGGATAGCCCCTTTTACTCTAGATGTGGCTTTTCCGCCGATGTTCATTTGAGACCCAGTTTATAAAGCGCCTGCTCCGCTCCGCTCCGGTCTGGTCCGGTCCGGTGCGAAACACAGAGGAGGTCCATGAAGCGTGCGCAGGAAATGCAAGATCGTGCAATAAATTCAGAGATAAATGTGGACGTTGGAGTAAAATAATTAATTCTGTGAACTCCAAACAGTGAAATCTGTTTCACTGTCGGCTTTTTGAAACTTCTGATTTCAAAATAAAAGCCACGTGCATCATGTGTTCATATGCTGCAGGCTACATGCTGCCATCAGCTTCCCAAACACAAACATACGTTCTGACAGCATTTGTGTAGAAATATATTATATATTTATTAATATAGCAGGGATTTCAACACAATTAGTCTGTGTTTGGTGAATTATTTTTGAAAATACAGATGTTGTGCTTGTTTTCTTGTTGGTGCGATGTGATCTGTGTARACTGACTCGGGTGCAGCTCGGACGTCCAGCAAAAATAGGATCAAATCTAATTTTGGCCAATCGCCGCCCTGCGCCACCGAGTGATGCCAGTGTAAATACTGATTATAATGGTTGCGTATTTGCTGCAGAGATCAAACTGGAGCGGAGCCACACCCAGTGTAAATTAGTGGTGAGTTTTTGAGGCTGTGTGGTGTGAATGACTCTTGGCCACTTTGACATCAAATTTTAGCATAGTACATGTGAAAGTGACTGAATTTTTGTGTTGATTATTTGCTTTCTCATGTGTGCACCTCTTTAATTCAAACCACATTCATCACAGCCACACATAAAAAAGAAAGAAAATAAACAGAATGAATCATGTTTTTTTCAAACTGTTTTTATAATCTTTTTAATTAAAATAACAATGCTGATTGGAGTTATTGTGGCACTTCTGTTCTGCTATAATTACACCTGTTCATTCGGCTGTTGGCACACCAACAATGCCTTTTGTTTCTACTGATTTCTCTATTAATTAAAACGAGTCTCAAACAAAAACTGGTGAGCCCTAACAGGAGCTGCAGCCTGAGCATCCTGCAGCTTCAGTGGCACCCAGCTTCCCGTTTAACTGTCAGGGAAGCAGAGCGGGTCTCGGCCCTGGCTGGACTCAGCAGGGGCACTGCTGATTCAGATTGATATCCTCTGGCAGTGAAGAGAGCACTCTGAGGAAGTCCTGAGTCCCACCAACACATCTTCTGTCAGAGGAGGCAGAGCGTCAGAGGAAGTTAAGAAGCTCCTCGGTGACAAGGTGCTGTGCCTGGGYGACGTTCTCCCCGAGTCGGTTCAGACTCTGGACACTGAAGAGTCAGTGCGCCTGACATGACTTCTCACGTCACAGGCAGGTCATGAGAGTGCCCAGAATGGCAGATAGGAGCGAAAGTGTCCTGTTATTTCCGAGGCTTCGCCCTGGTAGAGCAATGCCAGAAAAGGAGACTCAGATAGGTTGTTTGGCCGGAGTGCAGCACAGCATTTACGAGGTGAGAAACAGACAGATTCCAAAATGTCAGAAGGACAAAAACAGACACACAAACCCAAACGTGATTGGAAAATTTGAGCCACTAACAAATATCCCCTCACTTTTTTTGTTGGTAAAAATTTATGGAAAATGTAGCACAACAGCTAAATTWCACCCACTGTCCTGAAATAAAAAAGTGACAGTGCCGTGGTATGATTTACCAAGAATGCAGAAACACGCTGGAATAAACGCACATAAAGTCTGTGTGTATGATCGTCAAAATGATTTAATCTTGAGCAACAAACAAACAGAAGTCAACCAGGAAATCTGTCGGGTTGTGGCTGCCTCGTCAGCGGAAACAGCCAATAATATAACATCATGCTAACATCATGTGACATGCTTATAACCAGTCACAGATCGACAAATGTAACTGCCTAACCAATAACAGGGCTCTCAGCCCAAAGAGTTACTGTAGTACTCAGACAAGAGGTCAATCCGTTGCTGGAGTCCTGACGTCTGGGGCAAACAGATTAACAGCCGAAAGAAGTTATCATAAGATACGTATATGAGTACTGGACAGCATCAAGGTGAAACAGATATAAATAATTTGTCCATAACWGACTGTTTATAAAATAAGTGCACAAAACAGACAAAATTTAACACTGTCAAACACCTCTGACTGCAAGCTACAGTTAAATTGTTTTACAAATGAATGCATAACTGGTTTTCTTTGAGCCAAACTTTAAGTTTCTTGTCAGAGTCTCTGATATTTGTTCATTCTATGAGAGTTCCTTTGACTTTTGTCACCTTTCSCCCAAACTCTGTTCTCCGTCTTGTGACGACACAATAGTTTGAGATCTAGAATTCATTCTGGATGTATAGCTTAAAGGCGGAGGAGCATGTCTGCCCTTTAAAAACAATCTACACCTGAGCTAATACAACAGAAAAAACAGAGGACACAATCATAAAAATTATGTAAAAATGGGTTTTAAGCAATAAAAAAGTATTAAAATAATAAAACCAATAAAGTAAAACATTTCATTCAGAAAGAACTACCATGAAAATTAAAATCTGTGTCTTCATTTATGTCACATGAACATATTAACGTGAAAATACTGAATATGTAAAACCAGACTGAGTGACTGAGCACGGCAGTGGCGGTTCTAGGATTTTTCTGAATAAGGGGCCATCAAGGGGCCACAATATTCTCAGAGGGGCCAAGTATTTATTTAACATCTTTGTATACAAATCTCTGATTTTGATGAGATGTATACATGTAACTAGTCACACAGCATGTATATTCTCTTTACAAGTTTTACATGTATTTTTACTGTACATAGATCAAATACACTCAAACACACAGCATGTGACTCGTTAGCACCACTCGTGTTTGAACATGGAACTGCACCCACCATCATTACTCTTGGGCAAAGGACAGATGAGTGACAGGACAGGGGCACTTCAGGGGTCCAATCAGATTTCAGCTGGGGCCAATGCCCCTGTGGCCCCGCCCCTAGAACGGYCCCAGGAGCACAGGCCGCTGCACTTATGCAGGTGAAAGAAAAAGTAGTTCTCACCAAGCGCGTATGATTTAGGCAAGATTTCAATAGTTTACTTACTTTCCACTGAGTTCCTCTTAATGATACAGTACCTGAAATGACCGAAGTATCAACGTATTGATATTTAGATTTTAGTATTGATTCAAGAGCATAAAGTTCTTCTTATAGCAGCACAACCTAAAAGATTACATTAAGGTTGTTTTTAAATTCTACTATGAATTTTTATTGTAAATTACACAACTTTTTAGTTATTGAAATCTGTCAGAAATGAGGTCATGTATGTTGTAATTCATGTTAATTGTAATTCCATCAATCTTTTTAGGGCCAAAGGTTGTGACTGCTGGTCTCCAGAATCCAAACAAACAAACAAAAAAGAACCTTTGATTTTGAAAATCTAGTGGCGTACATCCCAGCTGCACGGCTGGCAGGTCGCAGTCTGAGTTCAGCCAGGCTGCAACTGAAAATCTGTATTTTCTCACAAAATCGACTCAAGTTTGAGTCACCAACTAGTTTAGTTAGTTTACGTTCAGTCTGATATTCTGACTTTTCAGATAACTCTTGTGTTCAGCTCCGGTTCAGCAAAGGTCAGCGCTTCTTCACCTCTGAAACTGCACCTTCTTCAGTTGCTTCCCAGATTCCCTCCCCATTCGTGACCTCCTTCTCCTCTGTCCTCTCCTCCTCCTGCTCTCCACTCTTTGTCCTTGCTGCTTTTTTGCAAGCACCAAAAAAACAGGCACTTGATAAACATGTTGTCCTCGTTGTCTCTTTTCCTTGCTTTCCAGCCATCCATCACCACCTTCTGTTCATTTTTCAGTCTGAGCTGTCTGTGCTGCCATCCTTCCCTCCATCTCTGACTTATGTTCTGATCTGGATCTTTTGTTTATGTTGTGCTTTTGGATGCAATGTTGAGCACGGGTGGAAGTTCGTAATCAATTTCTGATCAAAATGATGTGATGTCAGGATCTTTTTTCTTTTTGGCAGTCATGTTTATTATATAGTTTGTTCCTTTTTTGGTTTTCAAGTTCGTTTTCTGTTTTTTTATTTTATTTTTTTGTGATCCTTTCCTTGGGTTCCATTCCTCTCTGGTTTCCTGTCAGTCTGTGCTCCTCAGCTGCGGTCCCGCCCACTTACACCTGTTCCCAGTCAGCATCAGCGTCACCTGCATCCACTTCTTCATTCATACTCTGATCTTTCTCCCACTCAGCAGCTCATCACGGTGCACTTTAAGCTCCGTCCTCCAAGTTTTATAGTTGCTTCCACACAAGCCTTTTGTTTTTGGTTATCATTAAATCTTTGTCTTTTATTTTTATCGAGCTCCTCGTGTTTGTCTGCGTTTGTAGTTTCTGCCACACAAAACCTGACAGATACAGTGTTTTAAAGGGCTTTTTTTTTTTTGTTCTACGTGCCCTGCATGATTATATATTTTTGACAGTGTAGGCGTACGGATTTTGCAGTGAATTCATACCTGCAGTTTGCTCACCCACACACACACCGAGGAGATCTGCATTCAGTCACCAGAACGGTTCAGCATCACTTGGACATGAAATGATTTAAATGTGGACGTTTTTAAAAGCTAATCAATGCACAGGTGTGTGTCTGAGGCTCAGTGAAAGCCCTGAGAGGCTCATCTGCTCACTACCTGCAGGAACCAGTGGTGGCAGTTTATTGTTCTTCCTCCTCCTCCTCCTCCTCCTTCTCCCTGGGGTGCTTTCACCTCTGTGGTTGCTATGCTGCAAGGTGCTAGAGTGGATGATGTAATCTCCACTAATACTTTTGCCCCCCCCCCCCCCACACACACACACACACACACTCCCCTCTCCTGTTTTTTTCTCTCCTCTGCACCCCAGCTGCCTCCCCTCCTTCCCTGCTTTTGCCTTCTGAATCCATGATGTCATGTGAGGATTGGGCACGGAGGATCAATGAGTGCCCCCTAGCGGGACGTCACGCTCCATTATGTCTTTGTCTGAAAAGGCGAGGGTTCAAACACGGAGTGGGGGGGAAAGAGGTGGGAGGAGGGGGGGGCTTTAATTGGAACAGCGCTCTCTGACGTTCTGTGGTAAATCACTCAGGGACTGATTTGGCATGTTTCTATCTGTGACCGTGTTTGATGAGTGTTTGTGCAAAATCCTGCAGGTCTTCATCTCCATATTAGTGTGTGTTCTTTATGCGTGTGTCATTACCTGCCAGTAAAAGACTCACCATAAGGGTCTCTAGACTTTGCAATAATTGCAAAAGGGGGAAACACTGAAAGTTCTTTGTGGTGTACGATGAAAAGCTTTCTACTTACCATATTTATTCAAGTATAATACATAAAATTAAATCCATAAAATCATCCATAAAGTTGGGGGGGGGGGGTATTATTATACTCTGATAAATATTTTTACTTATGTATTTTAACTGAAATATCAGCACAAAATCATGAGTCCGGAAATGGGACCACGTCGTAAAAAACATTTGAAGCGAGCTCACCTCTAACACTCCTCCGTGCTTCAGAGCAAGATAGCAACAGATCCAGGCAGGTGACATGATGTGAAAAAAGGGGGGGAAAGTAGTCCTGCACCTTAGTAATGATAACGAACTAATGACATTAGCGTGTGACCRGGCCGCTCCTCGAACAACAACCAACACATGTTCGTCTGTAATGGCTGCCATCTACCGGTGTTCTGAAAAAGTTTGTATCCCTGAAAAAGTTTCCCTACCAGAGGGGGCGCTCGCGAGTAGGAAGTAATCTGCTTTTCCCCCACAAGATGGYCCAAATCTCATGTGAAGTCTCTGACTTTTGTGTTGGCGCCTCCTGGTGGACTATGTGTAAAATGTCAGAATTCATATGATGCTGCTACAGCTGATATATATTTGTTGTCAAAATACCTTTTAGTAAATATGTTGTTAAAATAAAATGAACAGTCCAACGATCATTTTACTGATATGTAWAAAGACTGCAAAGGCTGAAAAATCTTGAAGTCTGTATGACATTGGAGGTAGTTTGAGGATTAAATTTTTTATGCTTTTTAAGCTCAAAAAAGGGGGGTCGTATTATACATGAGATCATATTATACACAAATAAGTAAGTTCTTGCGGTTGCTCCATTTTGCAGGGGTTGCCACAGTGATTRAAACTCGATTAAAAGATTTGGTAATTGTTTTACACTTGATGTCCTCCCTGACGTAACCTGAGCTCGAACCTTCAGCCTCACCAAAGATGTCAACAACTGTGATATTTACATGAGCTCCTGGTCTATTTCCTTCTCACTGCTTCTGGTTTGTCTCGTTAGGACTCATACAGATGCTTTATGCWGTAAAACAAATCAGATATTGGACTTTTGTTACATTTGTAGCCAAATCAGAGCAGACTGAATCCTCCACAATGACTCAAAGTAGAGAACACATCTGTAGGTGAAGGTTATCCTTTAGCGTTAACTCCTCTTTGATTTTAAAAATCATCTCAACATATGGATGTAAATCCATTTCAATTTGAGAATTGAGACATGTTTGCTTCCATACATAATTAATTTTAAAACAAATGTTGCAAAATGTGCTCAGCCTCATGCGTTTATATAATTTACACAGATTTGTCTCTGCTGCGGCACAAAATAATGCAGGGACTGGATGAAGTGTTTTGTGCAATACTGTCTCCCAGAAATACCTTCAGAGCTTCRCCTCACTTGACTGGTGCATGTTTGAAGTCACCTGTCTGTCAAACACTTCTGCTTGTTTGCCAAAGGCTTGGGTCTCTTCCCAGGTAATGTTGGCAGGATAAATACTTTTTTTAAGGGTTGGAGATTCACTGAGAGCAGAAATGTCATGTGGGGTGAAAATGAACCCTGCAGGACAAGCAGAAAGGATGAATCCAGAACATTTTAATGATTAAAAATGTTCACAAAGTGGAACATGGAAATCAAACTGTATGGGAAATAAACTGGGATGAGTCGCTAGAGGCAGGTGAGCTGATGGATAAAGTGAATAGATTTTAATTTTAGGCAGAGGAAAACTAGAAAATGGAGCCACTTTTTCCAGGATTCAGGATAAAAATTGTTATTTTTCCTCAATTACGAAAATTAATCTGTAGGACTCCATTCAGTTTTCCTCTAAAACATTAATTTTATGTTTTTCTTGAGTATTTGTCACTCTAAAAGGAATAAATGATTCTTACACTGTAGATTCGTACAAATAAGCAAAAGGGTAAAAGTTTGGTTTGTTTAGGAAACGTTCTCAGGGACATGTTTCACAAAGTTGAGGAAATAAGAGTGGTTCTATAAAAGTGCATCACATAAAAATCGCCTTATTTTCTCAAAACTGAAATTTTAAAGAGCAGAAATAATTGTCATTCATATTCAAGGACAAAAAATGTCTTTATGTTCGAAAAACAAAATAATGAAGTGTGGTTTTATAATCCAAAATGCATTATTTTCAATGTTTTTAACCTGAAACTCCATTCAGGTTTTCTAAAATGCATTTGTTATCTTTAGACATGGCAGATTTATTTATTTATTTATTTTTTGTGAACACAGTCATTATAATGACTCACAACTGTCTTAGCAGCATTTAATGTGCCTCTTTCTTCGTTTCAGTAAATATTAACAAAAACAGTTAGTCATCTTTTTATGTGGATTTCTATGGGCATAAAAAAGGATGATAATACAATGTGAGAAGCGTGACTAAAAGTGTTGCTATAGCAGATATTCCAACAACTAAATAATCCTATTTTTCCCAAATGATTTCCAGCTGTTTCCTAATTGCATCTCGTGTGTGTGACTCCTGCAGCCTGGCCCAGGTATCGTATTCAGCGGGCGCTGGACACCGGCCAGTACAATTTGGAAATCTCCAACGCGGAGCTGTCTGATGACTCTCTTTATGAGTGTCAGGCCACAGAAGCTGCCCTGCGGTCCAGGAGAGCCAAGCTCAATGTACTCAGTAAGTGAACTGCTTCTGAAGGAGCACAGGTCCATTTTCTGACATGTTTTTTTTTTTTTGGTCTGCTTTTGAGTCGTTCATTTTTATTGCACAAAGAAGCTGGAGACGTCAAGAAATGTCAAACTGCCRTCTGCTTGTGAACAGCAGCTTTCCTGAGTTAAAGGGATGAACAAATATGGAGTTCGAGGTCACCTGTAACTTTCTGCTAGCYCCACAACCCCGAACTTAAAACTGCATACTTTTAACTGAAAACTAGAAAGAAAAAAAACACCAACATTTGAACATATATTCAAAGGATACCCATGTCTTCACGACCAGACAAAAGGCATTCATAAAGTAAAAAACAGAATCTGCAGGGGTTGTTTTAAATTCTAATAGTAAATCTGTTCTTAAATTAGTGATTTAAAAGCAACATTTGTGACCGGATGACAACCATGTTACCTACAGAAACAGCCAATGTGACTCAAAATAGGTCAAATATTAAACTTAACTGTTGTAATATTTCTCATACACACATGGGCGGTTCATGGCATAGGCAGTATAGGCTAACACTAAGGATGCCGTCCATTCAGGCGGCACCACAAATGGGGGACGAAAACTTTTTTATCAGTATAGTTAATTTAGCYTCTAAAATAATCACTGGTTATTCAGGTTTATGAATTTGTTCTATGGGTTTCTCAGTTATMATAGGTGTAATTTGCAGGGGGTTTAGGGAGTTATGACCCCCACAATATTTTTGATCCAGTCAATATTATATGATCTGATGCAGTCAAGACTGGTGTTAACAAAGGGTGTCAGTAGAAAACTGAATAAAGGCAATGAAAGTGTTAAAGTATGGTTTTCCGTGTTCTACCGTCATAAAATACAGATTTTATGTTGTTTTAATAATCCCCAAAATGTTGTAAAATGTTCTTCAAATGGCTGGAAAATGTATAGTTTTGAGAATGTCTTACAAGGAGCAATTTCTTTATCTCATTGACTATTTTAATTAGACAACGTGATTTCTAAAGAATAATAAAAATATCAAAGAGAAAACTATTTAATTTGATATGTTATTGGGTRTAAATTGGCAGTGAGATTTAGAAAACTGTACATGGGGCACCACCTGAAATCTTGCCTCGGGCATCAAATTAGCTAGGACCGGCCCTGCCTACACAAACTACACCATGAAGTTTTGACTCAGAGTGCTTTGTTTACATTAAATACATACCTGCATTTCAGAACAGCATAACATCATGTACATCAAATCTGGAAAACTAAGAGTCAACTCTTTTAAACTGCACCATTTGGTTCATATCAACCTTTTTAAATGTCTTTGCCACGAGTACTTTAAAACAAAAATCTGTTGGTTAAACGTGATTTGGATGATGGTGAATGGAGGACTCGTGCATACCACCATGAAAATGTTTATTAATAAGACGCCAGCTCATGTTGTGAATCATTTGAATGTGTTTGGGCTTTGGTGAGTCACTGAACACGATGTTCAGTGAAGAGATGACACCCAGTCCTGCACTTTGACTTTAAACGCTCCTCCGTCAAACCAACAATCTGAGCAAGAATGTCTGAAGCATCTGGAGCTTTAATAATGGACTTTCTCTTTTGTCTTTTTGGAAAACAATATTTTTTTTCTGTATGCATAGTTTTAAAGAAAAATAAACATGCAAACAGCTTGAAATGTTATAAATGAGGAGCAAAAAGTGCTATTTAACTTTTAAAAAATGAAGTAAAAATTCAGCCAAAGAAACAAAAAAATGAGTCAGAAGTTAAATTCTCCTGAGGACAAGGCTGGAGTGCACTTCTACACTTTGAAGAAGGTGACACTGCACTTTGCTTCTAATTGGTGAAAAAAAAAAACGTCTGAAGTGTGAACTTTCTTAAAGATCAACTTTTCTGAACCGATGGGAGAAAAACTGGAGCCGTGGCTGCTCTTTAAACCTCGGTGCCCTTGCGTTTAAAAGTCAGAGTATGGATTTGTGTGTCTGTCCTGCAGTCCCCCCCGAGGATCCTGTGGTGGAGGGAACGCCGGAGATGCTGCTGATGGCGGGAAGTCCACACAACCTGACCTGTGTGACCCGCGGGGCCAAGCCTGCGGCTCACATCCAGTGGACCAAGAACGGAGTCCCTGTGGAGGGAGCGTACCACTCCACGGTGACTCACACACACACATGCACACACGCAGATAATTACATCTGGGCATATGTGGCGGAAAAGTCATGCATCATAAAACACACATAAAGTCGGGATGAGTTTATTGCACTAAAATTATATCTGCAAAAGGTTTACTAATGGACTTGAAAATGACTTTCTAATACAATTTCCAACGTGTCCAATATGCTAATCATTAAAATCTGCTCCGTTTCTTGTTCCTTTAACAAAGTCATCTCAAAAACATGTTTATCAAAATCCACTTTGAATGCTTACAAGTGCAGAATTGAATCAGGAGAACAAAAGCATGTGGAGCATTTAAAACAGAGACAGGAGACATTTGCTTCTCAATTTAWACAGCATGCTCTGTAGCATCGTTATTTATTTACTCCATCAAACTTAAAGCCTAATTGCTTGCAGTAAAAGCCCAATGAAAGGATCCCTACTTCTCACAACAACAATAAAAAAGAGGAACACATGCAGGAAGGAATAAATAGTTTACAGATAAATTTTACTCAGTAACTTCCAACCAATTTGTTTCCTGTAGGCAGTGATGAGTGAGTTTATTGAATATTTCTTAAATTGTTCTTTGTGTCATCAAAGTGGAAAAGTTCTGTTGTAGCAGTTGTACTTTACAAATTGAATAAGGTTTGGTGAATAATCACATTAACAGTATCTAAGTGCTCGTAAATGCCTTATCAAACAATCTCAACAACAAAGTCAATAAGCTTTTATCTGAGTATTGATTAGATACGCAATTATACCTTTTCACTTCAAGTCTGTTAAAGAATATTTTTATTTTTAAGACTCCACATGTTATGACGCTCTAAGGTTCAGGAAACATTATTTTTGGGGAGATTTTCAGCTGGAATTTGACGTGGTAGTAGCTGAGAGTCATTCACAACACATCCATTTAGCATAATATTGAATGAGCAAAATGTTTGCAACCTTGATTCAAAACTCTGATGTAATGAGTGAAAGGAAATTATTAAATGCTAAGCATCTAATTCTAAGTTTTGCAACTCATTAAGTCTTAACACCGTGTTTTTAGTGATTTAAAGAAGGTCAAGTTTAATTTGTTTCATTTTAGTTTTTCAATATCTGTACTTTTAAGTAAAAGGCAAAGTAGTCAGAATTCCCCTTCTATTTGAGATATCAGTTCACAGTTTTTACAGAGTAAAGTGAGTTAAAGTGTTATGTTGTACATGTGCTCTTAAGTGAGTAGAAGAAGTAATGAGATTATTAATGTCTTTCAAAGCAAAAACTGAAGGGTTTATTTGCTACAAGAGCAAATGGTGCGGTGGTTGGTTTGAATCATCCGTTTTAAGAAAACTAATTAGTTCTATAGTTTAATTGTTGCATTAAACTGTGGCCACATATTATTTATCCCAAAGTCGTGTTATTTATCTTGTGCCCGTGTGTTGTTTATTTCATGGCCACACGTTATTTAATTAATGATCATGCATTTTTTATCCCATGGTCACATGCTGTTTATCTTTTAGCCATGTGTTATTTGTCTTGTGGCCACTTTATTTAACTTGTGGCTATGTTTTTTATCTCATGCACATATGTTATTTTCATGGCCACACATTATTTAACTAATGGCCATACGTTATTTACCTCATGGACACAATATTTATCTAATGCCATGCATTATTTATCCTGTGGCCATGTGCCATCTTGCGGTCACTTTATCTTGTGGCCACATTTTTTTATCTCGTGCCCATGTGTTATTTATCTCATGGTCATTCATTATTTATCCAATGGCCGTTCATTCTTTATC